TTATAAATCGGCAGAGGTGATTTATATCGTTATATATCCTTCGGTTACCAATCGATATATAACTCTCTATTTTTTTTCCTAATGTACATCTGTTTTTTTTTATATATAAAATCTTTTTTTGTTTTTTTTTACTTTTCTATAAAAAGATATTATCAGATTGACAATATTTTATTATAAAGTAACAGTTAAATAAGTAGTCTATTTTTGTTTAGAATAATACAACAGATCATACTTAGATATCAATAAAATAACCAGATAATACTAAATTTAAGTAATAAAAAAATTCTATATAATTTGTATAGTTTTAAGAATTCTAATAAAATATTAGTATAACTATCTAATTTAAAAAAAAATTAAATAAATACTAATTACTTCAATTAATTTAAGTTATAGATAAATTAATCTGAATTTTTATTTTTTTTTATATTATATTCTATCATAAATAAGCACTACATTCTTTACCTTATTTTTTTAAATATTAGATTAACAAACATTACAATAAGATTTTTAACTAAGTTATTTCTACTAATTTAATATTTAAAAAATAAGATAGAGAATGTAATGTTTATTTATAATAAAATATGATATAAAAAAAAATAATTAATTAATATTTTATAATAAAATGTAACAACTTAGTAAAATGATCAGGTTGTTAAGTCTTTAAGTGATAAGTTAAATGTTCAAATTCTATTAATAATGAAAATTTAAATAATCACCTATATAGTATTCATATTACAGTAACTGTTATCAATAATTGGATTAAGATATCTGTAATAATAGTTGCACTAGTATAACTGACAAATCATAAAACATCTGTACAAGTATGAGAATATTAGATATGATAATTAATAAAAAACCATCAAGTAAACTCCTTAAATAGGTAATATAAAAAAGTTACACATGTAACCAATTGTATACTCTTCTGTAATGATTCATTAAATCACATTACCAAAAAAGTTGTTAATAAAAATCAAAAAATCAAAAAGATCACCTTAACACTAAAAAAAAAAAAAAAACTTTGTAATTGCATTTATAATTTTAAATAGGTTAATAAAATACTGATATAATTGCCTAAAAAAAAAATTAAGAAAATTATTCTTAAGCTTCAATATAACCTTAACAGGAAATTTTTTTCTATCGTTCCTAAAATATCTTTCTGATTTGAGTATTACTTGTAGAATTAATTTTGAAAATTATCGAATTACGGCATGTGCCGTATTTTTTGCCGCAATTATAAATACGGAATCAAAATTAAGCGTATCGACCAAAAGTCTGGATCCGAATTCATCGGAAACAGGTCGTATTAAGTAATACCGAAACGTTCCGATATATACCGACCCTGAATTTTGGTCGATTTTCTGAATTTTGGCTCCGCCACATAATTACGGCAATTAGATACTATGCCGTAATGCCGTAATGCCGTAATGCCGTAATGCCGTAATTCAGTAATTCTACCACCAACTGTTATAAAAAGAGTCTACTCAAAAGAAGAAATTTGACCCCAATACAAACCACCGGAAGTATGCCTGTTTCATATCTTCTAAACTTCATTGGTAACAACCTATTTCACGTAGGACCAAGAATGATATCTGCTTAAGGCCTTGAACTTCCAAACTGTAGTTGGTACGGACTTGGTAAAAATGTTCGTCGGAAAGAGTTTGTTTTGTAATTTTATTGTTAAGAATGTTTTATTTAAGTCTTTATAGCTTTAATATTTATAATATCTGTATAGGTTTCAATGTTTATTTGGAATTAATACTTTAGTATTATATCTAGTAGTTTATAAATTTAACTTCACATAGTATTCTTTAAGCAATAAAGCTAATTCGATTCTTTCGGTATAGAAAAAATAAAGTTGAAAATTTTCTCTTTTTAAACTTTTCAACACATATTTCCATTTCATGTTTAATAATTACTCATTTATTATTATTTGTTTAGCAACTTGCTCCATTTATAAGTACCCAGCTCCTAGAGTAAATGAGCTGTATACTACGAATAATATTGTCAGAATTTTTAGAACAAAACACTTCAATTGCTACTTACCTGACATTAATTTTTTTTATATTCATATTTGAATTCGTTGATTTATATCATGAAACGACGAAATATGCGGTTTGTTTATAAGTGAATGATATTGATGGTAAAGTGTTTATTTAACTTATTTTTCCTTTGGTATAAAAGAAAAACTTCAATCGAACCGTATTAGTCATCAACTGGATTGGTGATACAAAAAGCGCAGTTTAATCTGGAATGTTTAAAAACATCGCAACGGTAAACCATAGCAATAACTAATACCAATCATTAGTGTGTACAATGCTCGAAGCCTCAGTACGTAATTGTTACAGACATAAGCCACCCGTATATTCAATTACCAATAAAACCCAGTATAAATGCGGATCCGATTATTATAAAGAAATGGTAATCACCCAACCCAAATTGGGCGTTAATTTTTTTTGTTTTTTAAAATTCTATCCACTTTCTCCAAATCAGATAAAATAATTGACATTATTCTCATTTTCTTGGTTATTTTGGTGCTATTCTATTTAAGAAGTGCTTGAAAATTGGGAGAGCTGATATGGATAAATATGACTTGCTACTTGGCTTTCTAATAACATTGCACCTAGTACTATGTCCTTACACTAAAGTTGAAGAAAGTTTTAACCTTCAAGCTTCACATGATATCATGGAGTTTGGAATATCTTTGGACGCATTAAAAAAGGTACATAACGGACAACGCTAGAAAGTTAGTCTTAAAAACGTTGCTTTCTTGAGCTTCTTGCTGGGTCTAAAATGTTGATTTTTAATAATAAAAGTATGACCACTTTGAGTTTCCAGGAGTTGTTCCTCGCACTTTCGTTGGCCCTTTGCTTTTGAGTTTAGTTAGCTGGCCAACTAGTAAAATTTTAGTGTTGCTGATTCCTCACCTGAGTAAATTTGCCCGCCAATATATAGGTAGGTTATTAGAAAGTTATAAAGCAAATGTATTGATGTCTTTATAATAGTTTAGATTTTCAAGTAGATATTTTTATCTTAACAGTGTTTCATTGAATTACTAAAATTCATAGTACGCTTCTTTCTTGGCATATCTACCAGTTTTGCTCTATCTTATCTTCGATCGTCTATTACTAAATATTTCGGATATCGGGTTTCTGTTGCTTTTGGTGTTCTCAGTGCTTGTCAATTTCATACCATATTTTGGGCAAGCAGGACATTACCTAACATGTTTGCTTTTCCGCTAGGTAAGGATAAAATTTGGTTTATATAATCGATGTTTTTGCACTAAGTTTCCACGTTACGTTTCATTATCTTTCGCCGTATTTCATAATCTTTCATTAGTGATTTTGTCTTATTCTCATTGGATTTCTGCGATTAATTCATCTGAATCCAATCGAAAATTATTACAAATGATACGTTATATGACTTATACAGCAGTAATATTCCGTTTTGAAGTAGGAATGTTACTTGCTATTATTGTTTTGTTTGAATTGTGGATGGAAACTTTAAGTTTTTTTGACACATTAAGGGTTGGAATTATCTCTGGGTTGGCAAGTTTGGGTAACATATCTATAAATACAATTGTAATACCAGTTTTCTTAGTACGTGCCATTCATATAATGTTATTATTTTTATAGGAATTTCTTGCTTTATCGATACTTATTTTTGGCAGACTCTGCTCATGTGGCCTGAGGGTTATGTTTTTTACTTTAATGCTGTTCTTGGAAAGAGTGTCGAATGGGGGGTATGTATTACGTATCTATATTCCAAAAGTCTGAATATTGTGCTGTATATGTGACACCTATTATAAATCAATTGATTAATAATATGTTTTATTATATACTGCCCAAATTCGACGACTGCTTCTATTAATCGGTTTGTTTTTTGTAACCGAATTATAATTAGGTATCACCTTTTAATACATATTTCACGGTATTTCTCCCGAGGCTACTGTTGACATCTCTTCCGTTATGCATATTTTCGATGTTTTGCGACAATCGTATACCTAGACTTTTGATACCTATACTTGCTTTCTTGGTTGGGTTCTCTTTCCTTGGTCATAAAGAATGGAGGTTTATCATTTATGTGGTACCAATTTTAAATTTGTGCGCAGCTATCGGATGGGTAACAATGTATAATTCTTAATTTCGATCTTTGTAATTATGACACAATTTACAACGTATAGCTAATTGCATATGATTTTAATATCATTGTTAGCAAACAAAAATATCCACGACTCATATTTATAAACCGACTTATTTCTGCTCTTGTTGTAATTGGATTTTCAATAAGCACCGTAATGGTCATTGTTTCTAGTTATAATTATCCTGGTGGGGCAGCCTTACAAAAAATACATGTCATTCAGAAAGATTATGCCCAAGGTAAGTATTTACTATATTATGCTATTTAGCTTTATTGCATAGTATGTCACACAATGTTTAATTGCTAATAGTCAACTATCAACGCGTTTTATCATATAGCGCGGGTACATCTTGATGTGTATACTGCAATGACTGGTGCATCCAGATTTGGCCAATTGCGGCATGATTGGATGTATTATAAGAACGAATCACATTCATTGCCTACTGATTATGCTGTATATACGCATCTTTTGACTTCTACACCTCAATCTCACGGAGATTATTTCGAAATCATTGATATCGTATATGGGTACGAGACAATACGATTGAAAAATCCAAGTGTTATCGTTCAAAACTGGCTCAACCTGTTCCAAAACTTTGACCTAAATCATATGAAAGAGTTTTTGGAATCCTTATTGCCAGTGCAAATCGTTATAGAGCCAAAAGTGTGGATTATGAAAAGACAACATTTCTGATTTTACCAAAGGCGAACATTTATTCTGACCGGACAACAGGTTGACTGGCCAGGATAAAATGGTATGTACGTTGATCTATCTATTTATCTCTGATATATATATATATATATGCAATGACAGTCGACGTAATCTTAGCCTGCTTCATTTAGTCTTATGACAATGAAGATCGTCTCCCAAGTCACCTAGCAAAGTTGGTTATACCATAAATGTTCGATACCAACATTTGCAATTTGAAAGGAACAAATCGTTCTTTTCTATTAACGGGACGTTTTAAGCCCTAAATTTACCGTAAAGTTGTTCGTATAAAATTCCGGTATACTATTGATGACGTGTATTGGGATGTGATAAATGTTACGGTCAATGAACCTTGTGTAATTCATGTGGTACTTAATCTAAATGTCACCGTATTCTGTGTCACGTTGCCGTACTTTTGCGCCAATGACTCATTAATTGATCGGGTAACTCGGAGTACATTTTTGGTTACCCGGTTTTTTTTTGGTTTGCCCCCAACAAACACCAAGTTGACGGAAAAAAAAAACCTATTAAATAAATTTAAGCCGAAGTAAAGAGAGAAACATAACGTTTCTACATTTTTCAATTACGAGTAGTTGTTATAGACAAACAACAATTTCATAAAACCGCTTCCACTTTACATAAACGTCAACTTTGTCAATAAGTAGTTTGTCTTTCAAAGTTATTCTTAACGAAACCTCCCCCATCTGACTGCGCCACAAGTCAAGATGTCATCATTTAAATTTAACCCAAATATGAATCTGAACCGAAAATCCTTTCGGCAACGTAAGGTAGATAATAAGAAGCCTATGCGCATAATGTTTCAACATGAAATCAGCGAAGAAGACATGCTACCTGTCAGTAGGGCAGGGGTTGATGTGGAAACCGGAGTAGAAAAAGAGGAAGAAGAGGTTTGTTTTCTCTTATTTTACCTCACATATACACAGCATGCAAAACTAGTAGCTTTGAAGTGGTTTTTTCCGTTAAAGATTAAATAAATCCTTTGTCATTCGCTTTACATTTTGCAATTTCGTTTACTGCGGCTGCGCTGTGGCGATTATGTCATAATATAATGCTGTTGTCACATGATTCGCATTTTTATGTCATACATATAATATTTAACATGATAATTTGCATTATATTTTAATCAGACCTTTTTTATTGTATTTATAGGAAATACATCTTGTAACAGCATTAGAAAAACGTCAACAAGGAATCGAAGAGGGAAATGGTACATCAACGGGTGATGGTGAACCTGCGATCCCTTGTCCGGACTCTGATGCCAATAAAAGACATCTATTTCCACCTTCATGGAAAATGTCACATACATTCCTCAAATTTTCTACACCAATACTGGAATGTGTCGGTTGTTTATACAACATGGATGAAGATGATGACAAATGGTTAAATGAATATAATTCAAAATCTGGCAACAATTTAAATGAAGATGATTTTGAAGAGATAATGGAATTTCTTGAAAATCAAGCAAAAAACAAACCACATTTATTGGTAAGCAGATTTAATTTAAATTCTTGTTTGGTTAAAAGTTCAAATTTTCATATTAATTTAGCATAATACTCTACCCTTGGTTCCGGTTTACATTTAGGCAAAAAGACAACTCCCATCATGGGAAGAATGCCAGTCATGGCTTCCAGATAAACTTCTAATACTATCAAATGATTGTAAGAATGTATATTCATATTGGAAGTCTAAGCGAAATCAACGATTCCTACGCTACAAGACGGTAGCACCACTAATGTTTGAGTTAAAGGTTATTAAAACTTTTATAGTTGTTGATGGTAATATTAAACAATTCAAATTGTGAAAGTCTAAGATAAAGATATATTTTTTCATTTCAACTATAGACTGCAGAGACAAAAGATGAGGAAGATAACCCATATGTTTGTTTCCGACGTCGAGAACTTAAACCAATTAGGAAGACTCGTCGTACTGAGACACAGTCTTTCGATAAATTAAGAAGAATAAGGCGTGACGTACATAATGGTCGAGAAATAATAGTCAAAGTAAAAGCTCGTGAAAGATTCAAGAAACAGAGGATTGAATTAAATCGAAAAATATTTATAAAAGAATGTGATATAAAGGAGATGCGGAAAGAATTGGGAATACAAAACAATTCTATTTCGGATCCACAGCAAAGGGTATTTATTCTATCTATACCATTAAGGCAATCGTTTTGTATAATTTATATGAATTTTGTAACTTGTTCCATAGAACAAGAACCGAAGAATATCAGCCTCATCTACGGATACTATGAGGTATGCCATAAGATACTATATATTATGGATTACATATTTATTTTCATTTTGCGCAAATTCATTAAAATCTTTCATAATAATTCGATACTACATTAGCTCCTTGAGAACAAAACCTGGTAATAAATCCACAAAGAAAGACAAAGAAAGTTGCGGAATTCACTTAGATGTAACACATGTACGTGCTAATTTTTTATATTAACATTAAAAGCTAGTCTTATTTTCGATCATTGATGGTTGATACATTAATCGTTAATTAGAATCCATATTGTCCCATGGAGAAACCGCGAGGAGCAACTTTCTACAGGAAATTTGACGCTGACAAATTAATGTTACCTCCAGCATTTAGAAGTCGTTATGGTCGTGGAGGTCGTAAACGTCGTACAATCGATCGCCTTGATGTGTTCACAATTTACCGTATGAAAAGACCAAAGAACAATAAATTTAAATACGATTCGGACGAGATGGATGATGTTTACAGCGGTGATGATATGGACTCTGATGAAATCGATGATAGTTCAAACATGACTGAATGGTAAGTCTAATTATATGTTTCATGTATCATGACTTTATGAATAATGATTCATGAACCAACACACTTCTATTTATTTTACATTGGGCTATTAGTACAATCAGATTTCATTTTTTAAAAGACGAAGATTTTCAAAATCTCGGTGCGTTCCGCACTAAAATTCAAAAGGATAAACAGAATTCTCCAAGACAGTGCTCACGTGATGATGGTCAAGTCAGTATTAGTAATCTGTCAACTCAGAACCACTCACAGAATAGTGTTCAGGCGAACGTAGACCCTCGAGTTTCTCTTTCAGGTTCACAATCTAGACCGAATTCAGAAGTTCGATCAAATTCTGAACCGCGAGCCGAAAGCTCATCTTCAAGAGGAAATCCTGATTCACGAATTACAATTGATATGGATTCACCACGTCCCAGTATATTACCTAGGACTGTTGTGGATCAGCGATCAGTCCGACCTAATTATGATCCTAATCTCACTTCAAGAACAGGTTAATATCATTGTGTACGCATGCAATTGGTAAATTTTTTAGGGTGTTTAAAAAATCGATAATTATCACCTTATCTTTAAAATCGATAATTATCACTTCTAATATAAATAACCATCGATGAGTTGGTTAATTATAACTCATATAAGTCAATTGCCATCGATGAGTTAAGTATCGATGATAATGATTAATAAAAATCGTTTATTGATAGGGTTATGTTACATCGATAATAATCACCCTAAAAAATTTCCTTACGAAGTAACAGTAAACTTTGTCGAATGTCACTAACACCTTTATAAATTAACCATAGCCAATAATCTACGTACCTACATTGACCCACGTACTTTCTCCGACCCTAGTTTGAGTCAAAGTTCACAAATTCCGATCCGGGACCAACGTGTGAACTCGGCTATTCCCGTATCAATATCTAATCGTGATCAGCATTCTTCTTCGGATATCAATGTAAGCCGGGATCAACTTTTAAATACTGTTTCTCTTACTGGACGCGACCAACGTTTATCTATCGAACAGAATCAATCTAGCGATCAACGATTACTTAACGAATCACGCCCTAGCATCGATACTCGTACCAATCTATCTCACAACGGTCACGCAGTGAGGGCATCGTTATCGCTGAATCATCGAGATGCAACGCCCTACCGACGTCCAATTCCACGAAACGTTCGTATATCGGAAGATTCCACAAACGCCAATGGCGTATCTGGCCTCGGACTTGTTCAAACGACAAGAATGACATCACCTTTACAAGGAGGCGCGACTGGAATTGTTCCCACCAACGTTCATATTAATGGTCACGGCTCTGTAATGCAAATTTCTCAGATGACACCACAAGTAGCCACAAGACAATTATCAGGAAATACGCAAACTAATGTTACGTCAGCGATAAATAGTGCTGAACTTACTCGGACTTCTTCAAATCCTGGAATAATCATGAACAATACTACTCCGGTGCTTACTCGGACGCCATCAAATCCTGGAATGATGGTGAACAGTGTAACACCAGGTCTTACTAGAACACCTTCAAATCCAGGAGTTATAATGAACGGTACGTCACCCAGACTCACTCGAACTCATTCAAACTCTGGGATTATTATAAACACTGCAACTCCGGTGATTGATCCTAGAAGGCTTCAGCGAACGCCTTCCACACAGGAAGGGATCATGATAAACATTGCTTCTCCCCTATCACGAACATCCTCTAATTCAGGGATGATGATAAACAATTCTGTTTCACTAATAGATCCAAATAAAATCAATAATGGTACTACTTTGATTAATTCCGGACATAGGATAACTATCACGAACGGTGGACAACCGACTTTTACTAATGGTAGTCCTGTTGCACCGTCACAGCAAGCAACACACCTTAATGTACAATCTACACGTCCCCATATGAGCATAAATAATCCTAGAGGACTTTCTAATGAACAATTTGTTCACTCATCTGATCAAAATAGCATACAAATGCTACAACGTACAATATATGCCATGCGTGCACAACAACCAGAATTGACACAACCTCAGTCACAAGATCAAACTCAGAATCAAACACAAAATCAGATACAGATTAGTTCTAATGTTTCTACAAACAATCAGACACAAACCAACAATAGTTCAGCGATGCGACAGTCAATTGCTGTGCCTCGTGGGACGCTCGTTAGAACTAGTAATATAGTAACACCATCGACAGCTGCTAATCAAACTTCAATTCAAACTATAATTGTACCTAGCGTCGGTTCGAACGGCCAGCCAAATTCTTCCTCTCAGCAGATTCAAAATAACGGAACAAACAACATAGTACCAACTAATGGATCATCAAACCTCAGACAGGGTAATGTACAGGCAAATAGCAGTACCAATCTGCTGAGACACGCTATGCCAATTGTCGCGAATGGATCAGCTCAAAATTTTGTACATCAAAGTGCTGTTGTCGGTAACAATAATATGGTACGTGCCGCTGGGTTTCCTTTAGCAAGATTTGACCGAGATAGTTTACAAGCCTTTGGAATTTTAACCGACTCCGTTCACCAGGTTAATAGTGCATCAAATCCAAACATTAGACAAACTAATATGATGTCACCAAATGGGCAAAATGTAAACAGTATGCGACAAAGCTTTCTTATGTCTAATGGTGCAGTTTCTGTGGCTAGCAACATGGCACAAATTAACCAACGTCCTGTAGTTCTTTCTAATGGGGTCTCTGCGGCTTTCGTCGGTAATAATGTAATTTCAGCCAACGGTGTTACAAATTTAAATGTCCGTCAAATGCAGGCGAACGTTCAGTCTAGTATTAATCTTCGGCCAATGACGCAAAATGGCATTCGACAAGTCCATCCAAACGGAGCATCAAGCCAAGGTTTGCGTCAGAATATAGTAGTGCCTACTAATGGGTTTATGAATGCAAGCCCGGTTCAGCTGTCATCGAATGTATCGATTAGTAATTTGCGGCAACCTAACATACCTAGTCAGGCCTCTCCAACTAGAGATTCAACAAATGGAATGTAAATACTGCGTGTTTTGTATAAAAAAAAAAAAGTAATCATTTTTAGTTTTTTTTTTTTTTTTTTAAAAAAAAAAAAAAGTACCCCGGTAAAATCGAATATTTCGGTAGAGGTATTTATCAAATGGTGGTAGAAAAAATATGTAGTATAAAAATTTTGTTTAAGAAAAAAAAAACTAATTTTTTGGTTTAGCTTAATTGGGTTTAATAGTGTGCCCATTGTTTATACTAAGTAAATAAAAAAACATCTAGCATCATAAGATGATTTCCTTTGTAACATTCGTGAATGATTTCGGCTAGAATATGATAAATTGATTTTGCAAACGGTATACATTTTTATTGCAACGCGTTATTCGATTAATAACAATAAATGTGGGCTAATATTTAGCATGGTCACGTGGATATGGGAAGACTTGAACTGGTATGTCTAGTTGCGAGATGATAGGTTAATGATAGGTGATCGGCCTGGACCAAGCAAAAAATTCTAAGGTTAAAATAGGGCGTATTTTTAAATTTCAAGTATATGTTCATATTTAAGCAATAATCCTAGTTTCTTTTATGGTATATATCAATCAGTAATTAATAAAAGTTTACGAAAACTTTGTACATTACATATTGTGATTCCTTATCAGAATCAATTGATTTTTACACCATTATAAAACAGGATATCATTATTAATTATTAAAAAGAACGTTGAATTATAACTGAAATCGGACGGTCTACTACTCGAGTTTCCCATCAAGAATTTAAATTATGTAAACAAAGTTTAAGCATTTTTTGTTATCTTACACAGGATTTTCAAAATTCTGGGTTGGGAGGCATCGACTGGACCGGAATTATACATGTTCTCAAAATTAATCTTTAAAAGGTCTATTCGTTTTTATTAAAACAAGTTGGCATTCTCAAATAAGCAAATAAAAGTTATATACTTGGGGTGATGTTATTAGAAACCAAGCAAATTGTTTTTAAGTAAAATTTTTTTATATATGAAATTTAGATGCATCAATAATCTGACTTATTAAAAATTTTATATACAAATTTGGATGACAAATCGTAACTGATAGTTTATACATATATATATAAATTTTTTTAAAAAAAAATATCAAGTAGACTTTATTAGATAATAAGAGAAATTACATTAAAGATTTTTAAATTACATTACATTCTATTTTTTTATATTTATTTTTTTGGTATTAAGGTGGTTTTTTTGATCTTGATTTTATTAATATTTATGTCAGGCACATGTTCATATAGAACTATTACAGGAAGCATGTATAATTGATTACATGTATAATTTTTTTATATTATTTATTTAAGAAGTTTGTTTAAAGATTTCTTATTAATTGTTATACCTAATATTTTTGCTTAAATATTTTATTTTAAATCTTTTGATTTTGTATTTTTTGTATTAATTTTATCAAGTTATTTAGGATCTGAATTCTTATCTCAATTTTAACTAATTTATTCTTAAAGTAAATTTTTTGAAGTTTTTTATATTTTTATTTATAGTTGATCTGGTTTTGTTATATTTAAAATCAATACTTGTAGTTAGAATTAGTACTTAGCACAATCAAATAAAAATTTAATCTTAAATATTTAAGTAAATTTTTGATAATCATAATTTTCAAATCAGGTAATTATTATTAATTATTAGTCACACAATTTGTCATACAAATTGGGAGTAATTTTTTTATTATGAAATTTGAGTGATTTTTTTTTTTTTTTTTTTTTTTTAACCTTAAGCAGTTACGCTAGTACTTTATTAAGATTCTTGAAACTATATATTT